ACATTGTTATATCCATATTTATATTTATATAAAACAAGGCATTAATGAAAGATTATAGCTGCATGTAAAGGGTGTGAATGCATCCACTGTAAAGTTTTCTTAGGGTACACATCTGGGTGATGGAATTTCAACCTTCAATTATTGAATTCTGTTTTCTTTCTTTATAGTTTTAAAGAAAATTTTAAGATAAAAATTGGGTGTAAATTTCGAGAAGTATTAAAAAAAAAGAAACCCTAATGTTCTGGTGCATAAGTATTCAGTGTCTGTTCAGTGTTCATTATTAGTTTTAGGGAAAAAAATACATGTATATGTATGTCATATTAATGATTAGGTAAGGCAAATCTCAAAATCAGGATTCCTGAGTGGTGGCATTTATAGGAATTTTATGTCCTGTGTATGAATTAAAAATGATTAAGTGAGAACCTAATTAATATTCTTTAATTAATAGATCAATCAAGTTGTTCCTTGCAAATGTTCTATTGTCTAAAATCCAGGTATTGCAAATGTTTCATAATTTCAAACTACCCAGGAATCAGAAGTGAAATCTGAAGTTTGGGTCTAAAATAGGATGCATATATAAATCCAATTTAAATGTAAATTTATTGTAGTTTATTACCATAAATAGAGAACTATGTGTGTGTGTTAAAAGAATGGAAGTACATGTGCAAAAGGTTCTCAGTGCTTAATACAGGTTTTATGACAGCCCTTTTTTAAATCTTGACTAGCACATGGTTATTTTCTGAACCCTTTGCAAGCACCATTTTTTATTTGCTTATGAGTAAACGCTAGAAGACTGATCTCTAAGACTTAATTAGTGTCGTATATATGCATAATAATAAAGTCACAGGAAGCCACTGAAGGTCATAATCACATGCATGGGAACATAGTTGTGTTTCAGTGTTACATGATGAAACTTTGAAACAAAATCATGTCTCTTCTAACTGGAATTCATTTATGTCGAGTATGTGCATCACTCCAAGTGGAACATTGTATGAAATTCAGACTTGAGAGCTATCTGGACCCTTCTCTTAGGGTTCCAGCCAAATGGTTGCCTCCCACTCAACACAAGGCCTAGTGCCCACTCAGAAAATGGAGGACTCCCAATGGAACTGGCAGTGAGATAAGTGAAGAGCCACATGGCTTAGTGCCTAGATTTGTTCTTCTCCAGGCCTTTATTTCCCTCATTTTCCTTACTCTTTTAGCCCTGGATCCCTAAGAATTGCCCATGAAAGCAAATAACATGGAAAAATTTGGGGATCAAGGCAGAGTGAAGAAGAGCTAATCTGCAAAGCTTTGGTAGAGTAGAAATGAAATTCTTGAAAAGAAAACTTGGCTGATGAGGGTAGGTGGTTTAGGTCTCAGCCTGATTTATGAGGGAAACTAGGAGAAAAATTTGTCCTTTTGAGCAGATTTCCACCACACAGGGTGATTAGCAAAGCAGCTTTGTTTCCTGACCCCTTGGTCTCTTGGTGGCTTTTTTTCATATTGAATAGGCGGGAGTAGAGGCCTGGTGTGGGTTGGGGGCGGGGCTGGGCCAGTTGCCTTTTCCAGAGCAATACCGCCGCCAAGAGGAAGTAGTCTGACAAAACCCAAAGTTGTTAGAACTCCTGTGAGGCCTAGGAGTTGAGAAAGGTTTGGCCTTTTGTGAGGCTGAGTGGACGTCCCTGAGCTGGGCCTCCATTTCACATCTGAAGCATTTGGGTGTAGCTATCCGTTGAAGCTGTTCTTGCTTAAGGGTAGCCAAGGAAGACTGGGAGACATTTGAGAAAGCATGTCCCAATGGTCAAGTACCCTATGAAGACGTGCAGTGACCTCTTCACTCTACTTCAGCTAAGCAGATAGCAAAGAAAGCCTGCATCAGATGAGCTAAGCTGCCTGCTTTGTTGTAACAGTTTGACTTGATCATATGCTGGACTGGGGAAGCTGGATGTGTGAAGACAGTCAACCATATCTGAAGTTAGAGTTGTGTGTGACAGAATTCCCTAGGCCTAGAATTCTTCATGCTCAAGAATTTGGAGTTTACACCTTTTGGTATACATTAAGAGACTACATTTGGCCAGGAAGTGGATGGAAAACTGAAGCAACAGCACCTTTCTGAGTCTCAGGAATTCAAGCATGACACCTTGGCCTAGTGACAGGAGATTGTAACTATTGCCAACCCTAACTATTCCCCAATCATTGACACTCATCTCAGATCAAAAGCTGTTTCAGAATGAAAAGTTTCAAAAACCCCACCCAGTGAGAAAGGTGGCAAAGGAAAGAGCAGGCACAGTAAAAGGCCATGCAGCACCGAAGTCTTATTAGCAGAGATGTTCAAAATCACCAGTACCAAAGTAAACTGCAGTTCAACATGTTCTCCCATAATACCCTTTGCTCTTCATTATAAACCTGAGCAAGCCACTGAAAATAAAGCCATTAATATCATCCAGTCTGTGTAATGATTTGTAGAATTATACAAGTTCCTAACCAGGTGAGAAGCGTTGTCAATTGGCTAAACTCTTTGGAGGTCAGTTGGTCAACATTGGTCAATCTTTCACAGATTAAAAGTCCAAGAGACTCTACCTCTCAAAACTGATCACACAGCCACACTCCCACAGGAACGCAGAGAGGCAGGGCCAAGGAGGATCATTGAGGCTTCCTTTGTAAGAGTGGATAGTGGGGAAGGTAAAAGGGTCCATTTTCTGGGTTCGGCTACAGCAAGTTCAGCTATAGCCAGCAGCCTTCATTGGCCTTTAGAAAGATTAAAATCTATTCTGTTGAGTCCTTATCAGGAGAGATGTCCATACCTTTGATTCAGGGGGAAAAAGCACAAGTGTTGGAATTTTAGGATCAAACCATCCTAGGTGGCTAATACAAGGAAAATGAAAAGGAAACATAAAGGCTGTCTTTTTCTACTTATTACATACAAGATTAATTCAAGTCGAACACATAAACACACGAATTCTAAAAAGTGAATAGTCACAAGGGAAGTACCTAGAAAGTGTACAGCCAAACAACTGACAGTGTCTGGCTTTCTAGAGTGATGTTTCCAATGGCTCACCTTCAAGTTTTACCTACTTGTCTGAAGTCTTGAAGTGTTGAAAGCAAAAAAAGCATTAGAAATTAAAAAAAAAAAGCAATGAACATCACCCTAATATGCAATTAAGATGGGGATGTTACAAAATCTGTATTTCTTTTAAAAATGTGCACAGGTCTGTGTATACACAAGATTTAAAGGCCTCACTCTTAATTGTTGTTCAAACAGAATAGTATTTCCAAATTATGCTTAGCAGAAAACCTACTTTTCTGAAGCATATTTAATGTCATATGAAGAGGCTTTTATGACAGAAGGCCTAATCTTTCACAGATTAAAGTCCAAGAGACACTGCCTCTCAAAATTAATCACACAGCCAACTCAAACTGCAAGGATATTCCATATGTATCATGTAAGTCAAAATCCACACCAACAAACCCTGACAGTCATTACACAGGTGCCCACACATGTACAGTTATATAATAAATGTAACATAAAAGCAGAATGCAATAGATCAAACATCAGTAGTATATCTATTGAGTCCTAGTGAGATCAATCTGTCGCTTCTTTACTACTTTATATTTGCTGAAATAACTGATTCCTTTCCAGATGCATGTTATTCTTAGGATTTGATCAATAATAAAGGAATGATGTGAGATTTAACCATGAAAAACTACCATGTTGCTCATGAATAGTGAACACTGTTGACAATTACCCACTGTCCAGTGTTAAGTAGTCAAAATTTCATAGCACCAAACTCCATGTACTGTGTGACCAGGGTTTGAAGAAAAATGAAAACGTTTAGTGTGTATGTGTGTGTGTTTAGTACTGTGCTGAAAAATATAGGGAGTATAATGATGACATGTAGACAAAATCTATTTAGCTCTCAAGAATAGTTTTTTTAATAACTTTTATTAAATTTAAACCAGCATACTCATCAAGCTGTTAATAGTTCACGTGGGAAAAAGTGGGATTTGGGATAAAGTGTTTCCATTTGTTTTTGATAGATTGTGTATTTTAAGAAGCCAATAATATATTTGTAATTTGAGAACCAGTCCAGAAATTCTCAAATGTGTACAGAAAAAATTATTGATACAACTTATTTGTGGCCATTTGAGACCTTATGTATTTATATCTCTAACTAATCACAGAAAACAAGAGGATTCAAGACACCCATGTTTTGGAAATCCTTGTCTGCTCAAATGAGCGTTACTTGTGACCTCACTGAACTTTATAGTTGGCTAATGTAGCTGGTAATTTTTTAGACAGTCTGCTTAATCCTAAGAAATGCAAAAGGAGGCAATGTTAGAAATATAAAGTATTCAAAGGCATGGTAATGATGTTTGCTAACAACTCAAAACTATAATCAGTGTTTGAATACTTGACCTACAAGGGAGCTGGGATTTTAGGCTAAAAAAAGATATATATATATTTAGGCTAAAAATATATATATATGTGTGTGTGTGTGTGTGTGTGTGTGTATATATATATGCATGGGAAACATGTAAGATTGTATGGCAGGGATGGTTTAAAAGTTATTTCTTCTACTTTTGATTCAGGTGCCATTTACTTTTGGTTTTTTAATTTCTCAAAATATGAACAAGTTGCCAACAGTAGGTGTCATTCTTTTAATTGCTTGGAAGAGAATAAAATGTAAAGAAATATCAAGCTGGGGAAAATATATATTAATATGAGGCCATACAATTTATATAAGGTTATGCAGAAGAATTTGTGCAGAAACTAAACCCATAAGTCAAATTATAATTAAGGAGAAACAAATATGTATGTGTGTGTATATATATATATATATATATATATATATGCATGTAACAAATACCTTATATATACTATATATTAAATATATGATAAATAGGGCATAAAAAGTCCTACTTTTCATGATTTATTTGCTAAAATGAGGATTTGCAAATTTGATGTAATATTCTCCAAATGCCTAGGAATCAGGAGTGAAGATTTCTTGTGGAACCACAATGTTCTAACTTGTAGTTTTACTATAAATTTATTGTTGTGTTTGAACACAAATATAGAACTCTGTATTGAGAGGAGTGGAAACATAATCCAAAAGATAATCAGTGGTCGTAAGTTTTACGGCAGTGCTTTCTGAATCCTTGGCAAGCACATCTTACTTACTAATGAGGAAATGGTTTTAAGACTGACCTCTAAGAGACAAATGGTGGGGTGGGGATATATAGCTCAGTGGTAGAGCACGTGCTTAGCATGCACAAGGTCCTGGGTTCAATACCTCCATTAAGAAAAAAAGAAGATAAATGGTAACACAGACACATACACCTCTACCTCCAATAAAGTCATAGAAATGTAATTGGAAACCATTTAATGACATGAAAAAGTGCTTGTGTTCCAAATGGTAAATGAAAGCATGAGACAAAACTGAGTAACTTCTGACATCCTGCCACTGGGGCACTGAATGGCATATAGTGATGAGAGCTATGTGGACCTTCTTCTTAGGGCCACAGTCAAGTGGCTGCTAACAATTCAACACATAGAACCTATGTCTTTACCTGGAAGATGTAGGAGAATTTGAGAGCTGCAGAGATGAGCCAGGCAAAGACCATGGATGTATAGAGATACCCTCCTGGTTGGATTTTCAGTGTTCTCTTTTTCTGTTTAGGCCTGGATCTTTGAGACTTGCTCCCAGGAGGAGTCAACTTGTGAAAATGCTGGCGATGTAATGCTAGAACAAAAACCAAACCGTGAAGACTAGGCCTAGTGGAAACTGAATTCTCGCAAAGAGAAGATGCCTGATAAGGGTGGGTAGTTTGAGGCCTCAGTTTGGTTTCAGATGAAAACCAAAGCAAAAGTACATTAGCATGAGCAGGTTTTCTCAAACTGGGCAAGATACAAGGCAGCCATATTTCCTTTTGCTTTTGCCTCTTGGTAACGTTTTTTCGGACAGGATGGGCGGGTGAAGAGGGCGGGTGGGGCAGGGAGGAAAATACTTTTTGGCATAGCTGATGCACTACTGCCATCATGAGGAAATAGTTTAAAATATACTTACTGCGGCATTGCTTTGTTTCTGTGAGGACTTTCAGTTTCAAAAGGTCCATTCAGCGGAAGAGCTAAGCAGGACCTGGTCCCAAATTGGGCCTTCCTGGCTTCTCTGAGTTGTTATAGGTGCTTTGGCCAAAGGCCTGATGGTGGTGTGACAAAGGTGAGGTCCAGGTGTAGGAGCTGGCCGGTGGGATTGGCTGGACTGAGCTCTCAGCTCCCAGGAAGTCCTGGAACAGGAAGTTGTGGGGTAAAACTATCAAGTAGTTAAACACAGACTAATACACATAGAAAGACACATCAATGGTCAAACTCCTGAAAACAAAGATAAAGAGAAAATCTAGAGGATAGCTGGATACAAGATATTTCTTGAGATTTCTAGCAGACTGGTCAAACATTATTTAAGCTATAAGGACATAAACTAGCATCTTAAGAGTACTCAAAACAAAAATAAAATGTTCGATCCAGAATTTTGTACCACCAAAAATGTCTTTCAAAATAAGAAGAAATAATTTTTCAGACAAAAACTAAGAAAATTCATTATCAGCAGACCTTCACTATGATAAATATTAAAGAAAACTCTTCACGCAGAAGGAATGTGATATCAGACAGACACCCGAGATTGACACAAAGAATTAGAGATCTATAGAAACTGTTTAAATGAAAGTAAATACAAAAAAAATTTTCCCTTATTTCTAATTATTTTAAAATATATTTGACCGTCTATTAGAAAGATAGCAGCATATTTCAGAAGTAAAATGACAGCGCAAAAGATGGGAAGAAAGAATGTATTGTCACAAGGTTCTTATACTATGTGAGAAGCAATGTATTACTTGAAATCTTGAAATCAAACTGGGATTAGTTAACATGTATTTTTTTAAACACTGGGTCAACCACATACAAATTTACAAAGAAGTATAAATGATGAACTAATAGTGATAAAACTGGAATCAAAAAATAATAAGCTGCTCCACTAGAATTTCAGGAATGATGAACAAAGGAACAAATAGGAAACAACCAGCAAAATAATAGATTAAAATTCTACCATATTAATAACTACATTCAATGTAAATGATCTAAACAATCCATTTCAAAGACAGATTTTCAGATTTTACTTATAAAAGTAAGAGCCAGGTACATTCTGGCTACAAGAAATCCACTTTAAATATAAAGATATTGATATGTTAAAAAATAAAAATGATGGGATAATATATACCAAGCAAACACTAATCAAAAGAGAGCCCCTAACAATGAAAGATATAGACCAAAACATAGAACTATATTGGAGAAGATCAACCTAAAGGGAGAAGAGAGCTTTAAAAAAATTATTATAAATATCATCAGACAGGCAAGAGACAATATTACAACTATGATAGAAGAAAAGGATACAACGAAAAAGATAGTTACAATGAAAAGGAACACAGCAATTAAAAATAATATAGCAGAAATATAAAACTCATCAAAGAGACTGGAAAAAGACCATACTTAAAATTTTCAAAACTGAAAAAGGAAAACAACTAAGAAAATTATAGTACATCTGTAAATGTGATTTATTATCCAGATAATAGTTCCCAGCAATTTCACAGAAATATAAAAAATGACAATTCAGATTGAAAGGAGCCACCAAGTTGCCAGCACACTGGCTAAAAAGAGACCTACCTGAGGACATATTATTATGAAATTTCAGAACACTAGTAACGGGGAATATCATATAACTAACATACAAATATGAAGAATCAGAATGACTGAACTTCTGAATATCAACACTGAAGACCAGAATGCAGTAAAAAAAAAAGTCTTCTAAAAAAACCAAAAATTTTTTCCAATTTAGAATTCTATACACAGCCCAACTTACAGTGAAGTGTAAGGGGAAAGATATCCTCAGATATGCAAAGTCTTAAAAATTTACTTGCCATGTAACCTTTTTCAAAAAATTACCTTAGGCTGTGCTTTTAAAAAAAGTTCTAGAAACTATTAAAAAGGGGAAAATATGGGTTTTATGAAATTGGAGATCCAATAGAGGAGATATGAAAAAGAAATCCCCAGAATGCTGATGAAAGGAATGTCAGAATGACAGTTAAGTATCATTCCCCAGACATACGGGAAACCAGGAGACATTGAAGGGGGTCATAAAATTATGAAATAAATATTGCCAAGTAGATCAAATTGGTACAAATACTTACTTATGAATGAGATCCTTTTGAGAGATATTTTATTTATTTTTAACATTTTTTATTGAGTGATAGTTATTTTACAATGTTGTGTCAATTTCCAGTGTAGAGCACAATTTTTCAGTTATACATGAATGTACATATATATTCATTGTCGCATTTTTTTCACTGTGAGCTACCACAAGATCTTGTATATATTTCCCTGTGCTATACAATATAATCTTGTTTATCTATTCTGCATGTGCCTGTCAGTATCTACAAATTTTTTGAGAGATGCTTTAGATAGCTTGTATACTTCCATAGAGGATATGTATAATAAATTTATTTTGGTCATTATGCATGAGCAAAATAGGATTTTAAATAACATTTTTGTCATCATATATCTGAAGTATAGGGGTATTTCATAAATAACTATGATCAATTAATGAAAAAAATGGAGTTAGAGTTAATTTGTTTAAGATCTAGAAAACAAATCGCAAGAATATAAGATTTTGGCAAGATGTTCATATTACAGTATGTGAACATAGAATGACATAAAAGTATATAGTAAATAGAAACCTATTTTATGAATAAAAGCTATTCATTATTATATCTGCAAGGGAAAGAAAAGAGCCACAAAATTTAAAAAATTCTAGTTATGTATAAAAGGTGGGATTATGAACACTGATTAAAATTTCTAATTCATAATCTCTTTAGTTTTGAATATTTTAAAGAGGTATGTATCACCTTAATCTATGTTGGAAAACAAAGCTATTCTCATGGTTAAAAATTAAGAAATTAAGGATATGGACCCATGTGAAATAATTACTATGTTAAACATATAGGACAAAACTGGATTCAATATGATCCAACATGTTATTTAAAAAAAATTTCATGTGCAAACATATACACCAAATACATTTCTGTTGGCAGAATTATATAGTTCATACCAATGTGTGTAAAAAGATTACTAAAGAAATACGTATGAAAAATATCATTTAAAATGTACATACAATAAAATATAGTAATTCCACCTGAAAAGCAGACATTGGAAACAACATGGAAGTTCAAAAATATAGACAGGAATGCATTGAAATCCTAATTTCCAATAATATGTTCCCAAGATTCACTGGAAACAGAATAATCTTATATCTGTTTTAAATAGAAAGGCAGAAATTAGCTTCTGCTATAGAAGTGACAGAAACAATGGAAAAATAATAAATATACATTTTAAAATTAAAACATAAATATAAGGGTACACTTGGTGTACCAGGTAGGATGATGTGTCATGAACCAGTACGAGATATTTTAGGCCTTATGGCCTAAAAATCTCAGTGGCTTAGTCAAAAAACAGCTTTCCACTGAAAACAAAAGTATTAATGTGTCCTAGAAAATGGATGGAGACTCCCTGGGAATCTAGGAAGCTCTTGAAGTCAGGTGCGTTGAGATGACCTTCCCCAGGCCTGGAACTTACAGAGTTTTCTTCCATTTAGTCCTGGTATCCTGACACTCGTCCCTAGAAGACAACTTGATAATTGGGAAAATGTTGGAGAACGAATGCTGAGTGAAGAAGAGCTGAACTGTGGGGCCAAGATCTGATGGAAAGGTAATGCTCAACAAAAGGAAATGCCTGATGAGGAGGAGTGGTTTAGGCTTCAGTTAGATTATAAATGGAAATGGAAAGCAAGATCCCAGTAGACTGAGCAAGTTTCCTCAAACTGGGCAAAACTAAGGCAGTTTTGTCAGTATTTTGTTAGTGGTCTTTTACTTTTTGTTAGCGTTTTTTTTTTTTCAGACTAGAAGGGTGGGAGAAGAGGGCCTAAGGGCAGGCCTGGTTGACATTTCTGGAGCACTACTGCCATCATGAGGAAATTGTTTGGTGAAGCCGTAAGCCCCTGGTATTTCCTCCCAAGAGACCAGGAAGTTGAAGAATGGTGGACCTGCGGAGAGGTTGAGCATTCCTTAGCTCCAAGCATTGTATCCTTACCTTTATCTCCAAGGCTTACAGGATACATTGACAAAGGCTAGATATAATTGTAAAAGTTGGCTAGTGAGTGGCCAGGACTGAACAGGCAGCTGCCAGGAAGTCCAGACACAGGAACTCCAGGCACAGGATGTCATGGGTGTGGACCCCCTCCCAGTGCAGGCAGGACTAAAGGAAGTGATTCACAACCAAGTGCAAAGCTTATGATCATTTGTGTCTTCCTGTCCCTTGAGCATGAAGTTAACATTCTGGGAGAAAGTACTTGGCACAATGGGGCCTTGGTCCCATTTGGCAGCAGCGTCAGAGCTCAGAGTTGAAGGAGAAAAAATTCACTGTTTATCATAGAAGATATATTGGAGAGTATATTTCAAGCTGAGAAGCAATAATTGATCATTGACAAAGTGTTGTTATATCTCAGGAGTGTCTTGGAGACATTTAGGCAGAGCAAGCCTCAACAATCCCAGGTGCCTTGTGCATGTGAAAGGTGATCACTGACCTCCAGAAATTATTTCTGCTAAAACAGACCAAGAGAGAAAGCTTGGACCAGATACGCTGGGGTGCCTGCCTTGGAATAGTCTTTAACTTGGCCACATGCTTAAATAGTCAAATGTATGGAGACAGAAGTGTAAACAACAATAGAAGTGGCCTCAGCTCTGGAATTCTGCAGGCTTAAGAATGTTGTTTTCACCCCACCCCAGCGATCCTGAACAGAAGCCAAATGGACTGAGAGTGGATAGAAGCCTAAGGTATTAGCCCCTAGCTGTATTTCAGTGTTTTAGTTATAATAATGGAAATAGCAAAAACTGGAAACCAAGAACAACTGCTGTTAATGTTTACTGCCCTTCAACCATTGACATCCATTACACATCAGTAGCTGTCCCAAAATGAAAAGCTAAAGGAAAACAGTGTAACAGGAAAGGGGAAAAAAAGAGCACGGCTCGAACTCCTAGAAGAAGGGGGCCATGGAACAGAAAAATCAATCTGTTGGCAGAGGTTCTCAGATTCACCAATACCCAAGTAAATTACAGTTCAAGAAGTTCTCAGCTATGCCTCAGTCCCAACTAATTTATCCAGAGTGAGCTGATGAAAATGAAGACATCTATATTGCCCAGTTTATGTGATTATCTGTAGAAACAGACAAGTTCCTATGAGTTGGGAAGCATTGTCAATTGGTTTAACTTGTTTGAGGACAATTTGGGTGCATCAGTTAACCTTTCACGTGTCCATACCCTTCTTTCAGAGACTCTGCCCTTCAGAAGTGATCACACAGCCACATTCCCACTGGAAAGTAGATTCTCTGAGCTTTCCTTTGCAATGGCTGACACTGTGGAAGGGAAAGGACCTATTGTTTACAGATATATTGGCTCTCAACGTGGTGCAGCTACACTAGGTAGTCCTTTTAAGTCCTTGCAAAGACTGAATTCCACTCTCTGTCCTGATCAGGCAAGATATATTACACCTTTCATTAAGGATTAAAGCAAATTATTACATCTTCAGGATTAAACCATCCTAGTTCGTTAATATAAGAAAAGAGAAAGGGAAAAATAGTCTATGCTTATCACATTTATTATTACCGTAAAGTTGAATACATAAATATATATGGATTTTAAAGAGTGAATATGTACAAAGGAAGGGTTCTAGGCAAACTACTCATTATGTCTACCTTTCTGGAGTAATTTTTCTAAGGTTATGCTATCAGGTTCTAAATTTATACATATCTGCAATTGAAATATTAACAAATCTGACTTATGTTTCAAATCAAGAAAACAAGGTATACCCCTCAGGCTATAAAATAACCTCCAGTGTAAAATTCCATTTCTCTACAAAACATATGCGTAGTTCTATTTACATACGGAAAAGAAAAAGGTCACTTTTTATAGTAAAGAAAACAAAAATCTTTGACCAAACTTCTAAGCAATACAAAAATCCAATCATCCTAAGGATAGTTAATGACATGTGAGGTGGCCTTGTGATCTAAGGACTGGGAAATGTATGACAGAAGGAAAAAACTCAAAACCCAAGGATATCCCTATATTAAAGTCATACCAACAACCCCATGGAAGCTACACATGCAAACATTCAAATGAGATAAATTTAGAAGAGAGAGCAGGAAAAAGAAGGTAAAAATACGAAAGCTTGTTTCCATGGACTGCTCACCTTTCTCTAGGGGGTTATATACTGAGATCATCTCAGGTATTGAAGAGTGAGTAGCATTAAAATAGGCAAGTGTTTGGGGGTCCGGATGTGCTCAACTCTCCAAAGGATGCTATCTTGTGAGGCCTACAAGGAACCCTCATCAGTAAAAGGCCAAGAAGCAGGCACAGAGAATAATACTTGATATGAATGAAAGATTAGGTCCCAAGCCCCAAGGGTCTCATCCTCCTTAGGGGAAAGCCAATCAGTAAAGAACCCATTTCTGTCCCTGATGAGAGCAGGTCACTCTAAGTGGGTAGGCCTTCACATTGAGCCCTAGAAAAACAGCTGCAAAGCCCTAATCTCCAGGGCTCAGGAAATAGCTCCAGGCCTTCTCAATTGTTGGTTTCCCTCTAGTTGTTACATCAGTACTCCTACTGATGTTCTGGAGTTCACTGGCTTGGCATGGCAGGGTGACACACACTCTTTCTCAGGCCATCCTTGCTCCAGGCAATGGGTGTACCAGACTTTTGGGTGTCCCTGAAAACTCCAGATCACAGACCAGCTGCTGTTAGATGTCACATGGAATGAGATTCTTATCCCCCACCCCAACTCTGACCCTGCTGACACAGGGGGTCCAGGCCCCAGAGTACAGGGATGTCTTGTGCCACCCCAACTCTCTCATTCTGTAAGGGATACGGACAGCAGACAAATGCCCAGAAGTTCTGCATAGGTTCTGAGTGCTTCCCTCTAGTTCTGCCCACAGTGGGAGGAAACAAAAACCATGCCACAGTCCTGGCCCTTCACTCAGAAGCTTCTTTACCAATATTGTTCTTCTGTCCAGAGCTCCTGGAAGGCCTCGGAGTTCAAGTAAAGGAGACCCAGCTTGGTCGGGGCCCATTCAGCCTTGGAATTAGCCAGACATTTATTAAAGGCTAGATCTTCCGGGAATTCATGGTAACAATTTTGGCTTTTCTAAAAGTACTTCCTCGTGATGGCGGTATGGCTTCAGAAAAACCAACCAGCCCTGCCCCCAGGTCCTCTTCTCCCGCCCGTCTAGTCTGAAAAAAACACCACCTGGAGACAAAGAAGCCAGGAAACATGGCTGCCCTGAATCAAACCCAGTTTGGGGAAACCGGCTAGCAGTGCCACAGCTTTGCTTTTGGTTTCCACTTGAAATCGAAAGGTACCTGAAAACCACCCACCCTCATCAGGGTCTTTTCAAGAGTTCCCTTTCCACTAGACCACAGCTTTGCCGATCCGATCTCTTCTTCAGTCAATATTTGGCCTGTAGGATTTTCACATTTTCAGGTTTTCTGATGCAGGACTCAAGTCTCAGGGATCCATGCATGAGGACAAGAAATTGTCATCTCAAAGCTTGCAGGAAGCCATCTGCAGCCATTAGATCTGTGGTGTTTGACTAGGCTCATTTCTCAGGCTCCTGTGGCGTCCTCCATTTTCTGGCCCACACATTTAGAAAGTAACCAAAATGGCGTCTCTCTTTTTAAAAGTCTTTACAGGTGGAGAGCTCACTAGTAAGTATGTCAGTGGCTCAAACCTGATGCTCAAAATAAATATTCATATTTAGTTATTTCACTTAAGGATACGTTAAAAAAAATTCAAGTGAGTAAATTTTAAAGATCTGATTGGCTCTATTGAGTAATTAGTGACTGAGGCAGACCCTCACCTAGCAGGTATAGGGGAGCTCCAAAGGGCTACCAAAGGGGAAAAGTTTTCAAAGGTGGGAAAAGAAAATCATAAACAGAAAAAAGTTTTATTTCAGAATAGGTCATCTCTCTTTTAGGAAAAAGGATCTTATCAAGTGGGTTACCTCACCTTCCTTTGGGGGATGGAGAGGGCCCTTGTGACATACTACCTCATGGATGCTGATAAGAAAGTTACTGACTGACTGGTTCAGTTAAGAATACATTTCTGGGGGAGGTTGAAGCTTCAATTAGATTAGCTATTAAGACTGGGTTTGCTGGAGTGGCCTGGCATAAGTGACTTCATTTTGGGCCTGAGGTTTTCTTTTTAAAAGAAATTAAGAGTCAAGCTTTACATAGGTTTTGAATGCATATGTTAAAACTCAACTTTGTCATATGAGTTTTTCTTATGTTTTTACACTTTGATGCCTCATATATATCCATATTTTAATTTTGGCATAAGTATTAATACTTTATAAGAATATAGAAATGTGTCTTTAATAATGAATTTGGTAATTAAATAGAGAACATAAATTGTTTACTCTCCTTAAGTGCTTACATAATTTATTGTCCAAGTTGGATAGCTGCTATAAACTATGATTTCCCAAGGAAAACTAAGAGATATGTTTACCCTATAATTCTGCAGTCTTGAGACAAATACTGATTACATCTTTATTTGATCCTTACCATGATTTACATAAATATATTGATACATTTTCATTTATATATATACATACATGTTTACATTAATTAGGTATTCTCTTGCATGTCTTTTTTATACCTTTT